ATGGAGGAAGGAAGGAAGGAAGGAGGAAGGAAGCAGGAAGGAAGGAAGGAAGGAAGGAAGAAGGAAGGAAAGGAAGGAAGGAGAGGGAAGGCGGGGAGGGAGGGAAAGAAGAGAGAAGAGGAGGGAGGGAGGGAAGGAGGAAAAGGAGGAGGAGGGAAGGAGGAGGCGAGGGAGAGGGAGGGAAGGAAAGAGGGTAGGGGAGGGAGGGAAGGAAAGAGGAGGGAGGCGACAGCGGCGCAAGGAAGGAGAGGGAGGGAGGGAGGGAAAGGAAGGAAGGAAGAGGGAGAGGGAAGGAAACAAGGAGGGAGGGAAGGAAGGGAGGGAGGAAGGAAAAGGGAGGGAGAGGAAGGAGGGAAGGAAGGAAAGAGGGAGGAGAGGAAGAAGGAAGAAAGAGGAGGGAAGGAATGAAGGAAAGAGGGAGGAAAGGAACATGGAAAAAGAGGGAGCGAAGCGCCGAAGGCGCGGAAAGAGGTGGGAGGGAGGAAGGAGAAGGGGAAGGGCGGAGGGACAAGGCAACGGAAGAGGGAGGGACAAGGAAGAAAGAGGGAGGGAAGGAAGGAAGGAAGGAAAGAAAGAGGGAAGGGAGGGAAGAAAGAAGGAAGGAAGGAGGGAAGGGAAGAAAGGAAGGGAAGAAGGAAGGCAAAAGAAGAAGAAAGAGGAGGAGGAAGGAAAGAGGGAGGAAGGAAGGAAGAAGGAAAGAGGGAGGGAGGAAGAAGGAATGTGAGGGAGGGCGGGAGGCGCGAAGGGAATGGCAAGGAAAGAGGGAGGGAAGGGACAGGAAGGAAGGAGGAGGGAGGCCGCGGAGGAAGAGGAACAGTGGGGAGGGAGGGGCAGATGGGAAGCCGAAGGAGAGAGGCTGAGGGGAGGGGGGTCTCGCTCAGGCTGGTTTCGAACTCCCGACCTCAAGCAATCCGCCCGCCTCGGCCTCCCAGAGTGCTAGGATTACAGGCGTGAGCCACCGCGCCCAGCAAGATCCCGATTTTTATCTTTACCCTCAAGTATTCTATTTCACACGGGTCCAGAGAGCAACTCACTTCCCCAAGGTGGATCCTAGCTCAACAGATTCCCTCTTTTCTGGATCAAAAAGCATTTCGCCAACTACACAAACACCATGAACTGAAAAATATTGTTTGAGCTCAGCATCTGTCCTTACAGCATCACGATTTGTATTTGGGAAAGCATGCAGTGTGATTCATTACTGCATATGGAAACTGACACCCCACGAATGTGGGGTTAACGGGCAGGATCCATCCCATATGAATGGGATTTCTAGGTGAATGAAAATGACTGCCTTAAAGATGAGTCCCTTGAGAAATTTCACCATTTTGGGTGGAACACTTAGTTTTTGAAATAATAAAATTAAATCCCGCTGGGAGGCTGAGGCAGGCGGATTGCTCGAGGTCAGGAGTTTGAAACCAGACTGAGTAAGATCGAGACCCCGTCTCTACTATAAATAGAAAGAAATTAATTGGCCAACTAATGTATGTATATAGAAAAAATTAGCTGGGCATGGTGGCACATGCCTGTAGTCCCAGCTACTCGGGAGGCTGAGGCATGAGGATCGCTTGAGCCCAGGAGTGTGAGGTTGCTGTGAGCTAGGCTGATGCCATGGTGCTCACTCTAGCCTGGGCAACAAAGTGAGACTCTGTCTCAAAAAAAAAAAAAAATTAAATCCTGCAATACTTACATAATTGAGAATCAGTGGATGTCTTTCTGGAATATATGTAGTTGCCTGCCTCCTTATACAGTGAAAAATCAAACATAATTTAACTTTTTTAAATGACATTTCCAGAGGATCACTAAAAGCATCCATTATCAACTATTGTCATTACTGGGTATTAATTTTGTTTCATAGAATTCATATCTCTCAATGTTAGATTGCCAGATGATAATTTATGCTATTATTTTATCTGTGGATCCCTCCTAATTTACAGCTTCTAATATACACCGGACCAGGAAACCAGATAACCAAACTAGAGAGTTAGAAACATGCTTGTGCGCTCTTGGTGGGAAGGCAAAATGGTGCAGCCACTATGGAAAACAGTATGGTGGTTCCTCAAGAAGTTAAAAATAGAATTACCCCAGGATTCAGCACTTCCACTTCTGGATTTATACCCAAAAGAACTGAAAGCATGATCTTGAAGAGATATCTGTACATCCATTTTCAAAGCGACATTATCCACAATAGCCCAAAGATGGACACAATCTGAGTGCCCATTGATGGATGAATGAATAAAAAAATGTGGTCTGTACACACAATGGAATATTATTCAGCCTGAAAAAGGAAGGAGATTCCGACACATGCCACAACAGGGATGAACCTTGAGGACATTGTGCTAAGTGAACTGGACATTGTGCCAGTTGACAAAAGGACACATAATGTGTGATTCCATTTATGTGACATCCCCAGACTAGTCAAATTCATAGAGACAAATTAGAAAGATGTTTTCCAGGGAGTAGGGGGAATGGGAAATGAGGATTCATTGTTTAATGGACACAGAGTTTCTATTTTGCATGATAAAAAGATTTCCAGAGACTGCACACAATGTGAATGTGCTTAACACTGCTATACACTTAAAAATGGTTAAGATAGTAAATTTTACATAATGTGTATTTTCCCACAATTACAAATAAATTTTGGCTGGGTGCAGTGGCTCATGCTTGTAATCCTAGCACTCTGGGAGGCCAAGGTGGGCGGATCGATCAAGTTCAGGAGTTTGAAACCAGCCTGAGCAAGAGCGAGACCTCATCTCTACTGAAAATAGAAAGAAATTAATTGGCCAACTAAAAATATATAGAAAAAATTAGCCGGGCATGGTGGTGCGTGCCTGTAGTCCCAGCTACTTGGGAGGCTGAGGCAGAAGGATCACTTAAGCGCAGGAGTTTGAGGTTGCTGTGAGCTAGGCTGATGCCACAGCACTCTAGCCCAGGCAACAGAGTGAGACTTTGTCTCCAAAAATAAAAATAAAAAATAACTAAATTTTGAAAAGGAGTTGGAAGCATGCATCAATTCATTTAAAAATATTTTTATACTTATTATAAATCAGACTCTGTTCTTGGTGGCTGGGATAAGTGGGTGACCAAAACAAAATTCTGGCTGTCGTAGAGTTTATGTTCTAGCACATAGTATATAATAGCATACACACCTTTGCAGTCTACCTGATAAAGTGCATCATTTTAGGACATTGGTTTTTATAAAACAAATGTGTTACCCAGTTCTGACCCATTTCAATGAAGAATACGTCTAAAGTTTAAATATCTTAAATCTGAAAGAGCATAATAATTAAATTTTAAAAATTGATCCATCTCCAATATCTTTTGGATGTGTTTGCTTTCTTTCCATTATATAGATTAGGAAATGGGGGCGGGCGCGGTGGCTCACACCTGTAATCCTAGCACTCTGGGAGGCCGAGGCAGGCCGATTGCTCAAGGTCAGGCGTTTGAAACCAGCCTGAGCAAGAGCGAGACCCCATCTCTACTATAAATAGAAAGAAATTCATTGGCCAACTAATATATATAGAAAAAAATTAGCCAGCATGGGCGCCATGCCTGTAGCCCAGCTACTCGGGGCTGAGGCAGGAGGATTGCTTGAGCCCAAGAGTTTGAGGTTGCTGTGAGCTAGGCTGACGCCACGGCATCACTCTAGCCTGGCGAGACAACAGTGAGACTCGTCTCAAAAAATAAAATAATAAATAAAATTGCCTAATTATCACTTAAAAAAAAATAAATAAAAAAATAAAAAAAAATTAAAAAAAGATAGGGTCTGCTAGCATGCACCAGTCATGATGGGGGGGTCTTCTCTCTGTCATGTGATGCTATGCCGGAATCGGATTGGAAAGTAAGCCACATTATACCACATTAATAAAAACCCATTCAATAAGATTTTTTTTAACTTTGGGGCAATGGAAAGTATATTCAATAAGATTTTATCATATGTGAGCATGACTCACCAGGCCTCTTAGAAAGGAATTTGGACAAAAGAAAAAAAAAGGTCAGAGTTCAGCCATCAGATATATACTGCATAATTGCAAACCGCTATTCAATCCTTAAAATAGTTAATAGCCACCAAAATACATAATAATACCAAGAACTGTTTACAACTATTGGGTTCCTAGCAAGATCAGTCCCTGAGAGATCACTATCCTTGCCTGTCACCACCGCTACCCACTCCTGCCTCTATGACAGCATTCCCATGACATTAACCAGTCACTCAGCAGATTGCATGATTGCCAAGTGCCAAATAGGACTCAATTATTACAATGGCG